CCCCTGTAGCCACCAAACTTTTCCCTGTTTGAGAATTTTGATTGTCCCTTGTATTTTCCATAATAGTTTACGTACGAAACCTTGGAAGCCACACGATTTGTTTCGCTGATTTCCTTCATGGCCCTATGTAGGTCATCACCAAACAGCTGTGTTGTTACAGGGTTGTTTGTAGAGCATAATGACGAGAACTGGTTGTTCAAATCAGGCTTGATCAGTTCCCGTCTTCTCTGACTTATCTCTTGCGAACCCGCACTGATAAGCATAAAGCTGTCGAGTGTAGTTTTCATCAACTCGTCCAGAACCGCGTTCACATTGTTATCCGTAATTTTTTGCCTTACGGAAGTGATATTCTGGAGATTTCTAGCAAGGGGAACTAACCCTTTTAATATTTTTTTCCTGTGCTCTTTGCATGCGCAGGTCTCTGCTCTTTGTATTATGACTAATCTTCCGCCATATCTCCGGGTTGGTTCTAGGTGCCTGGAGTAGTTCAACATTTGCAGGTCGGGGATATTCGTCCATTTCTACCTTAATTTTCTCGTTTGCCATTCGTTTAACTAGCAGATCCCCGAGAAGCCTTGATAGTTTTTCATTTGATAGCTCGGGGCCAGTGGCGTCCACGTTTGAGAGGTCTTGTGCTAGGCTTTTCATGTACTCGGGCAGTTCATCGCCCTGATCAGCACCTTGGTCATTATTACCCGCGACGGTTCTTTGATCACTTTTCTCTTCGTGGTCAGATTGCGTGTCCCCGAGTAAAGCATCTATCCGATCGCACAGATCGACAGATTCGTTGTCGACGTTCATGTCGTCGTCGGAACCTTCCCCTGTGAATAACGATCTCTGATCGAATGTTCGCATTTCCGCAAACATTTGCATTTGCTGTGCCATCATGTTCTGCATGCTAGCAAGAACTGACGTTAGAGTATCTTGAAAACCCGTAGAGGGTTGTAAACCTGATGGACCCGGCAGCGATGGCTGTTCCGTGTCCATAAGTACTGGTGGCCTGTTGTCCGAGGCTTGGTTGGTCGAGCCGACATCTTGTGCCGAATGTTTGTCGGCAGTACCCTGGGAAGAAGGCTTCCCGCCAGTGTTATGTGTAACATTGGATTTTTTGCCTTTGTCGCCTTTTTTGTTGGGTTTTTCCGTATAACGGGGCTCCATATTGTTGAGAATGTCCCCAACAAAATCAAATTGACTCACGATTTTACGTTTTTCCAAGATGGCGGCCATAAAGCGCGCCAGAGAGGGAGCCCCTCCTCACAAGAAAACGTGAAAATATGCCGAGACGGCAGTGTTCAGAAATGTAACAAAATATTTACACGAACAGTGAAAACCAACAAGTAAACCCTAGAGAGCCTCTGGGGGTGTGAAACAAATAATGAAAGTATAAAAGGCGATATAAAGTCAGAGGAACGCAGTTCCCTCTGTACTATTTGCTAAGAAAACACGCTATGACTGCTAACGATGCGCACGCATCTCATGGGATCCCGGATGTACCATCCAGGAGTGAATGACAGAATACAAATTTAGAATCAGATTTATATCATGCATTTATCTATTGAATCAATGCCTGCCATTGAAACACAGAACTTAAGCGGCAAGTGCTATATAACCTTTGTCATGCTACGAAATGGCATGATATCACCATTTTCAGTGACTTTGGATGATATTACAAGTTTCACCGTATGTGATATACAGAACCGACTTAAGCTTTTCAGATTCCGGGAACAATACCGAATAAAAAGCAAGTTTAAAGGTCCCGAGACTTCTGAAATAGTTGATAACGAATCTGTGTCCAAATGTTGACGAGGCCAGCAACGGGGTAGGTTGGTTCATCATCATTTATTAACTTTAGGCGTTACAGCCCATCAGTACATGTACATAAATCAAATAATTCAAAATAATCAAATACATTTGAAGGCATAGCTGTGTAAGAATAACGTACAACGCCAATAGTATCAACAAAAGCAAGTGCTTATACAAAGGGAGCAAGAAAAACAGGTTATTATAATTTATATGTCATATTGCGCTCAGCATTGCAATTTAAATGTACAATTTGTATATCTTATACTACACATAGGAAATACATGTAAATAGTAGTAAAACAGATCTAGACTAGCAAATCTGTCAAGACGACGGGCGGCCGGACAATCCTATTGAAAAAGTCGGAGAGACGGACAGTAGTCAGACGGATAAAAAATACAATACAATTATACAATTCTACGCTTGTGTGCTTCTATCATAAACTTACCTAGCAAATTTAATTCCTTTAGGTTCTGAGAATTCAAAAGATCGACCATTTTGAAAACTGATGGCTTACGCCAAAAATAAAATGTACTTTTCCCTCAGGTCTGCATAACTCTGGCAAACAAGGAGAACATGAAATTCATCTTCTATATCCATAGAATTACAATTTAAACAAAGTCGAAGACGCCTATCTATAATTCTGTATCTACCATACTCTATGGCCAAGTTATGAGAAGCAAGACGAAATTTGGTTCTCACAATTTTTCTTTGTTTAGGTAAGGATTTTGATAAATAAAATTGCAAATTACCTTGTCAACAATATGCCTATACAGATAACATTTGCTATTAATTTGCAAAGAATTAAACAACATTTGATTAGCCTGATCTTCTATTCTCTGTTTAATACTAGTGAGAAGAATAACACCGGAGGGCGACTGCCTTATCCTCACGTATCCAAATCCTAGTTCAAATAACTTCTGCTTAATATGAACAAGCCAAGTATGTTTTGGATTGTCTTTCTCTGCATCTATATACAGAAAATTACACGCCTCTTTTAAAATTCAATTATCAGTCTTTAACAATTTAAACCAGTATTTGTACATTCTATACAATTGTGTGTTAACAAGAGGCAGTCGTCCTAGTTCAGTGTAAACCATAGCATTACAAGTAGACCTCTTAACACCAAGCAGATTTTTACAAAACTCAATATGGATTTTTCCAACTCGGTCCCTTTGAGGCTACCCCAAACTTCACATGCATAAAAAAAGAATACTTCCAACGTAAGTATCAAAAAGATGTAACTTAGTTTGAACATTTAGATTCAAAGAATTACATTTGGTACGAAAACCAAAAATTGCTTTACGTCCTTGATCAGCAACGTGCTTAATCATGCAACTAAATTTATTATTAAAACGAAAAAGAGTGCCCAAATAACAAAACTGGTCAATAATATCAATACTTTCCTCTTTGTATGTCCAACACTCATTTTCTTTGACGATACCTCCATTTCGGAAAACGACAATTTTTGTTTTCTCAGTATTAAAAGTTAGTTTCCAATTATCAGCATAAGAACTTAAATTATTCAACATGTTTTGTAATCATTCAACCGTTTCCGAAAATCTGCATATAGAAGGAGAAAAAGACTGAGATCACCAAAATCGTAACTAGTCGCGCCCTTCTCAATAAAACTTTGTTCGAAATCATTAATGTAAAGGGAAAACAACAGAGGTGATAAAATTTCCCCTTGCATCAATCTGACATTATTAGGGAAAAAATCTGAACACCTTCCCTTTAACAAAACACAAGATTTTACTGAGTTATATAAAGATTTAACTGTCGATAAAAATTTACCACGAAACCCTAGTATTTAATTTGTACCAGAGACTTAACATATCCACAAAATCCTTACAGAAATCTACAAAACAACAGTATAACCTTTTTTTATTGGACAATGTTTTAGAAATAATCGTATGCAACTCAAAAATAACATCAATCGTACTTACACCAGGTCTGAATCCAAATTGTGGATCTGTAAGAATGTTGTGTCTTATAACTAATTAGACTAATACCACGAAAATTATTAGGATCTGTACGATCACCTTTCTTATGAACTGGTACAATCACAGCAGTAGACGGAAAACAACCTGAACTTAAGATGTTGTTAAATAAAGTTTGAAGCAGTGGTAACAGAAAATTTCTGCCTTCAATAAAACATTCATTCAGTAAACAATCTTGACCATGTGATTTGCCATGTTTCAGTTTCTTTATTGTAGAAAGTATTTCGTCAGTAGAAAAATATTAATCTAACTCTTCAAATATTACCACATTATCAGTTCATAACTACTCATTTGGCAGTCGGAACCCGGTGTGACCGCTCAACCGCTTTCCCAAATAATAATTAGAGGCCAACAAAGGGGCTATCACAGCGGGCGCTGGTTAAGTTATGAAAATCAAACACATTTCAAATGCAAATGTAACTGATGAAGTTATTTTGTATGCTAACAAGAGCAATTGTCGTTTAAATAACATGTTCACATGCATTGATATTATTTTACAAATAAAAATAATCAAGTTTCATTTTACAGCTAAACCTAATATTGGGTACGGAGTCAAAAATTCAGGAAACTTGTATTTTTAACTTTTTTGTTTGATGCATTAAATGGTTTGGAAATGATAGAAAAAATTTATGCAGATTTCCCCCTATTCTTTCATTTTTCATTATCTACATATCAAATTTTGAAGTATAGTGTTTTTTCGTTCCTTATAACTAGACTTGACCGGACTGAAAGGAATGAAGGAACTTTACAAAATATGGTATAGTCTATGTGTAGTGAAGGACAGTATGTAACATTTCAGGAACTGAGATATAACCAACTCAGATATCCATAATTGTCAAATGAATAAGCGTTGCAGGCCTATTGAACATCTTCATCTTTCAAAACACGACCGCGTCAAGATCAACAATACCATCTCACATTTTCATTATGCATAGTTTTATCTTGTAGAATGTTAATTGGTTAAAGTGTATCGCCATTGACAATGGAATGGTTGGATACTATCCGATGACAATGTCGAGTATCAAATTATAAAAAAAAATAATAGAGCCAGCTACGCCCATTTGCCTTTAGGAAAAGGTGAAATAGATATGAATAAAAAATAAACCTTAGATAGTTACAAGGCACCTACCAATGATAGGTAACTCGTTATTACATGTATGTTCAAATGGATAAATGGTGGTATTCCACGATATCACAAATTCAATCTACATCCATAATTTTGGTATGAAGAGGAAGAGTACTTTTTGGAGACTCCTTTAGTTTTGTAGCATATTTTCGGTAATATATATTTAAAACTGATAAGAGCGCACATCCACCCAGGTGAAAAACAACGGGAACAATGTCTGTACATGGACCTCCCACGATGTTATTAAAAAGATGAACGATGGGCCGTATTATTAACAATACTATCCCATACATCTTCATTAAAGTCACGGTTTCTTGGTTTATCTTCTCACACGCGTAACAGTATGTCCTATCGTCCTGCAACCCAGCACACGGGGAGATAATTTGCAGGTGCGTCTGCTCAAAGTCTGAAACAAAAACATAAAACAATAATTTCTAAATGTGCATGTATACAACACTGATTCAGCTTTGTTTCATCAAGATTTCAAAATAATTTGCTTGGGGTGAGACGTTGTGACCGTCTGTCTTTAATTAAAATATTCTGGATAAGAATGTGTTCTCAGAATTAATTATTATTAACTAATTGAAGAAGTAATTATCATTCATTTATTCAATATAAATTAACGATAAATGAAAATATCATTACCTCGTTTAAGCTTTGATTTCTTCCTGGATATGTAACAAAATAATCCAAAGGCTGGCGTATATAGACTGATGGTTTCTATAACAATTGGCAATAGGATACCCTTCGAATCGTAAAGGCAAAATGTAGAGGACACCTGTCCGTGTATATATTTTAAATCCAACTTCATATTCAGCACTATCACCCGATTGTCCGAGTTCAGATATACCGATGACGTCACTGATATTATTACGTAAGATGCTGCAGCTATTTTAGTCCATAGCGGTATAGTGTCAAGGACGTTTCTCAACAAGTACCAAACCATGGTTGCAAGCGCCAAATTAAGCGTGATAACCACGGCTGGGTAGAAGTCGATACAATCTTGTGAGGATTCATTTATCAGGAAAAGAGCACAGACAGAGAACAATTGTAAGCATATACCGGAACACAGGAGAAGAACAACAGGGTTTCCATTTCTACACGAAGTGCTCCATGCCCTAATCGCTGATAGAGTCATCAGTGAAAAAGTACTTACAATGACAAATGAGCGACACAGGTTAATCAACCATGCAATCCCCATATTTTGTTTCAGTGACGACCTGATTCAGAACAGTTCTATCTCAACACTCAGAGATAGGTAACGATAACAGACGTTACTGTCGAATGTCAACCTCAAATTCGTTAAAACGTTCAGTATGTAAACAACTTATTTCTCATCTCACCGGCGTAACGTCTGTGCTTATGATGCTCTCTTGTATCGCTATCGCATCTCTGACGTCATAATCACACCAATGTACATGCAAGTCTAAGAGTTCCTGTTAAGATTTTTGTATCCGCATTTTCGTAAGTCACAATAATGTTTCAGAAGGCGTTTTGCATATCACAATCAATTGTTTGTAGCAACGACGGATGTCCTGGCCAGTCTTTTCATAGGTGTGACAAATTCATGATCTGGAGAATTCTGAAATACAAAATGCATGCCATGATTACGTCATATGAATAGTACTGGTTCATTATGGACTGAATGCATTTTAGTGGCGTATGTACAATAGTATGTTGTACATTCGCCATTAGACTGGCTCTTGTTTGAGAGCATGACATTATTTACACAGATTAATGACGATCAAGATGAGAGGGGTGGGGATGGGCGTCGTCGATTAAGCAGAAGGCGCTTATTCGTTAAGAATACCTGGTCTTATTCTATTTTGGACTTCCGCAATATATCTTTTCCTTTTCTATTTTGATGCAGTTTCATTGGATCTGAGTTTGGATTATTTTTAAATGTCAGTATTTTCTTGTTGTTTCGGTAGTGTGAGGAAAGTTGGCAACGAATACTCGAATGTGCCAATAGGTACTCTTTGAATATTTCTTCATGGCTACATTCATAATACCCTAAATGCCTTCAGTTGACATCAAAGCTATATAAAATAGTGGAGCTGAGATGATTTATAAATACGGTAGCTGTGTTTGTTAAGATTATTTATAAATACGGTAGTTCTGTTTGTAAATATGATTTATAAATACGGTAGTTGTGGTTGTTAAGATGATCTATAAATACGGAAGTTGTGGTTGTTAAGATGATCTATAAATACGGAAGTTGTGGTTGTTAAGATGATCTATAAATACGGAAGTTGTGGTTGTTAAGATGATCTATAAATACGGAAGTTGTGGTTGTTAAGATGATCTATAAATACGGAAGTTGTGGTTGTTAAGATGATCTATAAATACGGAAGTTGTGGTTGTTAAGATGATCTATAAATACGGAAGTTGTGGTTGTTAAGATGATCTATAAATACGGAAATTGTGGTTGTTAAGATGATCTATAAAACGGAAGTTGTGGTTGTTAAGATGATATATAAATACGGAAATTGTGGTTGTTAAGATGATCTATAAATACGGAAGTTGTGGTTGTTAAGATGATCTATAAATACGGAAGTTGTGGTTGTTAAGATGATCTATAAATACGGAAATTGTGGTTGTTAAGATGATCTATAAAACGGAAGTTGTGGTTGTTAAGATGATATATAAATACGGAAATTGTGGTTGTTAAGATGATCTATAAATACGGAAGTTGTGGTTAAGATTCTGAAGGCTCCTTCTAGAGCTTTAAATATGATGATTTACAATGAGCTTGGAAGAGTGCCATTGTACATTCACAGAAATGTCCAAGCTATTAAATATTGGTTAACATTTTTGGATACTGACAATTGTATTTTAAAGGGTTTATACCAAGAACAACTCAACATTTGTAATGCAAATCCCGGTAGAATTGTAAACTGGGTGAATCATATTAAACACAACCTGTGTACTACAGGATTTATGTATGTATGGGAAAATCAAGGTATTGTATACTCTGACAAAAATGTATTTTTAAAAACTATTAAAATGAGACTGATGGAAGTTTTGAAACTTCGAGTAAATGTGATTTATATAAATATTTAATTGATAACCGTAGTTATTCACTGCAGTATTACTTATCAAAGCCTATCCCTTACCATTTACAATGTGTATTGTCTAGAATGTCATACCATTATTAGATTTGATTTGTAAGGAGTTCAGTTTTTCATACACAACATTGTTTACTCCATTGATTGACTTAGTTGATAATTCTGTAAGATAAGGGGTACGTGCGGATTCGCACGTAAGCGAGTGAGTATTGGAGTGTTTTCACTTAAGCATGTGTGCTTACATGTATGTGAACGTGTGAGGGTGTATGTGATTATTGTTATTAGGGATTAACGACCATAATACAGGACGTTGGTCCCAAACAATAATTAAAATGATAGTAATAGGTGTGTGAGAGAACGTATTTTATGATTTGTTCACGTTCTGGATATGTATTTATGTGAAGTTGTACATGTTTAGTATACATTATTAAGCATACTCCTCAAGGGAGGTCACTCTCCATTTACATTATATGGCAATTATAACATGTTTATGAATGTATGCATAGGTAGCAGTACACAGTTTCTTGGTGTGGCCATGGGTGATTTTTTTGCTCATTAGATTACCCCATTATAAAGGTTTTAATTAAAAATGAAAAAAAAAATCCTTGCTAAAATTGGTCCTGTCATGTTAAAGTGGACAATGTGGGGTTTCATTTTTTTCAGGATAATATTTTAGCTTTGTGTTGGAGATTACTATTTGGGCAGTCTCGAATCTGTGTCTACGCACCAAAAACTAGCTTTACAGGAAGTGAAATTTTCATAGTGTTTACATGTGGTCATGTTATGAAGAATTTCCGAGTTGGAATTTGCTGAAATGTAAGTACTTTGTTACCATGACAGTGTTGTTGATTGTAAGATAGGTGATTAGAATTAAATTTCTCCTAGAAAGTTGTAGTGTTGGATTGGAATTAGCAGTATTTTTGCATTTTTAGCATTTTTTCAGTAGGTAACCATGACAAGCAAATGTCAGAAATCAGAGGAATTTTTTTTTTTTACACAAATTTCATCTCTCTACTGTTAATGTAATTGTTATACAGTTTATAAATATATATACATGTAATGATGTATTTTTCATAACCAATCTGCTATACCTGTATATCTCAAACATGACAAATAATTTCAGGAAAAATGCAAATTAACTGTTTACTGCTACCATAATATTCATGTAAACCTATGGGCTGTAAGGCCCCCCGGAATAAACCTGAACTCGTGTGTGTGCGTGCGTGTGTGTGTGTGGGGGGGGGGGGGGGGTGTTGAGGTGAGGGTGTGGGTGATGGTGTGTGTGTGAGAGAGGGTGAGGGTGGATGATGTCGTGCGTATGAGTATATGCTACATGGATGTATCATATATTATATATGTTTATGTATATGTTCTGCTTTTGTGCCTATGAGTCGTAAGGCTCGGGGCTAATAAAGAAAGAAAGAAAGTTTCCACTGAGGCAGTGGAGACAAGTTTTCTTCACGGACATACCACCCTCTTCGTAAAGAAACTGGTCGTCATGCTAATATTGAGAGAATTCAAAGATTATGTATGTATTGTCAATTACAAGAAATTGAAGATGAGTACCATTTCATGTTAATCTGTCATTTATATTCTAACCTAAGGAAAAAATATGTAAAAATATATTTTTATAATCACCCATCAGTGTACAAACTTACTAAGTTACTAACAGAGGAAAACTATAAACAACAACTCAATATATGTAGATGTCTGAAGTCGGCCATGGATTAAAGAAATGTTACAATTACATAAATAGTAGATGTATTAGATGATCAAAATGTTGAATGTTTCCAGTAGATAACATTGTTAACACTAAATTGTCAATTTAATTGTGTATGCTATTGTATCCATCCTTTATTCTGCCATTTGTATATCGTATATGATTATGTATATGTACCTACAGGCCGTGCGGCCTTTTGTTTGTCAATAAATAATTGAACCAAGATAATTTATAGATTTAGTCATACGCAACTATTAAGCTTATACCGTGTCGCACCTGCACGGATTTCTCGCTCCAGGTGAACGATTTTTTATGATAAATTATATGCCGGTATCATATCATAATAAAAAATACAACCGAAATTCATAGTATTGTGAACTACTTGAACAAGGATAGCCGGTGCCATTTTTAACGTGGACCCCGGGTCCATATTCAACATTACACCAGTCTTTTCAATCTATTCAATAGATAAATATTCACTTCACAAATATGACAAACTCGCTGTGGATAGATTTTCACGCTGTAATTAACGTGTGCAATCGCTTACACAGTAGCGTAATCTGGTCGATACGTTCCAAGTTCGTGTACTTTGTTATTGTTCCCAATCAATTCAAATGTAAGGTTGTTAGATCTGTTGTCACTTTTATGTGAAGACCTAGCGCTGGTTATGTATTGAGCTACACACATGTAAATTCACTTTGATTAGGCAATAGTATAACTCAGTTTTAGAAACAGATGGCAAGGTTATAGAAACATATATATACAATCACTTTGTTAGGACAACTTTCTCTGATCATGCAGACTGGATCAAGGAGGTAACATATTACCAGAGACGTATATATCACGTCTCATCTCAGTAAGATTAAGTATTTCCTGCGTAATATCAGAGACGTGATATATACGTCTCTGGTAATATGTTACCTCCTTGATCCAGTCTGCATGATCAGGGAAAGTATATATATATGTAATGAATATAAGAACTTTGGTCGTCCGCTGGAAGGCCGAAATGTCATAATAGTAGCAACTTACTTGTAAGATCGGGACCAACCAGCTCACCGTAGTCTCACTGTTGTATATATCTGCTAAATGCCCTATACAGAACATTAAACGTGTACACACACGTACAGGTGGAGTCGGTCGGTTGGATGCCTCGGGTATTGTATAGTATATACAGTGTACCTGAATATAAATGAACATGATAGTGTCTACATTTCTACACTAAATAGAATATTTCTGATTTATGTCTTAGCGGGTTACATCAGTGACGTATATATGACTCTGGTTACATGTATGTCGTATACATGTATATGTTGGCAAATGTTCTCCGCCATCTTGTACAAACTTTTGTTA